CTGGCCTGTACCCCACTTCTGTATGCACAAATAAATAAATCTTTTTTTTTAAAAAAAAGATTATACACCATGACCAAATGGGATTTATACCAGGTACCAGGTACAAGGGTGATTCAACATCTGAAAATCAATGTAATTTGCATTGTGGAAAATGGGGGGAAAGAAGTTACTGTTACATAAAGAAAATATGAGGAAGGATTCCTAGAAAACTGCCGGTTGATCATCTTAGGAAGAAAGACTGGGTGACTGAGAGATGCTATTGGAAAGGAGGCTTCATTTTTATTACCATTTACATGTGTTACCTATTCAAAAGTTATTAAACATAAGAGTAGATTGATTGTGGAGGTCTCAGTCAGGTTGTCTAGGAATTTAGCTTCAGCTTCTGCTCTGGATATTATAGGCAGCTAACTATCTAAGATGTAGGCCCTGGTCTTCAGCTCTGCTTTTTCCTTGTAGAGGACAATCATAAAGGTTCTTTACAACATAACTACTTTTCTATCATTAACTTCCTAGAGAATTTGATCCACAAACTCATGGCAAAGCAATTGAATTTTTAGTTAGCTGAATATGGTGCTGGTGATTAGATAGCCCTGTGGAACAGAATCTTTATGTTCCCCGTAGAACTCTTGGGAATCTCCCATATACTTTCTTTTAACGAAAATGCTGGTTCTTTGTTTTGATTATATAACTTTAGATATGTGTGATGAAATTTACTATACAGCTTTTCATTGTGAATTAATAAGTGAACTAGCATGGTGCAAGGTTTTTGAAGGAATTAGAATTTTCCCTTCTTTCATTTAGGAGGTGTACATCCTTATTTTCTAACTTAGAGTCAATTAAATTAGGTGCAAATTAAAACAAACTCTTCTAATTGCATATCTCTCAAAAGGCAGGTACACACTTGAGCTTATATTTCTGGATCATACTTCTGAATATCATAGTTCTGCTAAAGCAAATATTCATTAACTTTGTCAATTTCCAAATCTGGTGATATTATTATTTAAATATAGTATTGAATCTGAGAAGAAAGGGTTAACTTCTCAGGGACTCATCTCTTCTCAATGCAGAGATGCTGATCTTATTACTCTTGGAAAAGATGGCTCTCTATTGTCTGCTGAATAAATTTCAGACTTTTTAGCCTGGCACTTCACAGGTCCTCATTACTTTTCTGATCTTCTGTTTCATATATCTACTCTACCACAAAATCTAGGTATTTATCATTTCTTTACATTGCTGAGCTTTTCTGTGGTCCTACTATTGCTCAGTGTTTCATATGCTGGAAATTCTTTTTATCTTTTGTTTGTATCTGCCAAACTTCAGCTCATCTTTCCAAGCCCCAGGTACAAAGTTTCACTTCCAGTGAAACTTTCTCAGATCCCATTCTTTCAAAAGCAATCCTCTGAAACCTCATTGCACTTTGTGGTTCTCCTGAGCCACTTACCTATCTTTTAGAGCTATTCCTGTATGTCCTATTTTACCTTCCCAAGGAGACAAACTGTTCCTTGGAAGCTGAGCTCTTTTAGCAATTAATCTAATCCCCATAGCACTCAACAATATCCCTTCACACACAGTGGGCAATGTGTATATTCATTGAGTGAATTAAATGTAAATGAACATTTGAAAGTATCTTTGTTTTATCTTTTCAAATCAGAAAACCATTTGGCTGACTGTTATCTGTAAAGGTTATAAGATTAAACCATGCTGTGAAACAAAAAACACCTTACCCCATGTTGATACAGTTAGTAGGTTTATGGTCTGAGAAAATCTGTGCCTTTAAAACCTCAGAGAGCAGGTGTATTAACAAACTACAGAATTTTCAAATAAATGAAGAATTCCATTACCTCACTATTGCAGTTGATGAATTGGCCTCTGACGATACTTAAGATTCAAACACACAGTGTCTTTTCAGGTGAGAGGCTGACATGAGTGATTTGATTAAGAAAAATCTTATGAAAAGGACTGCTGAACTTTCCCCAGACTGTTTCTGCTTTGGAATATGTTCTATATCTTATAAGGTAGCCAAATGTTTTTCCATGACCTGTTTTTATTGTTACAAGTATTATTTCTTAGGTACTAAGTTCAAAGATTACAAATTTAGAAGCACAGCATCAGCAAATCCCAAGATTGGAAAGAATGTAAGATATCATATCATCAACCTTCTGTCAGATAGCTGAGTTCCCATCAGCCATTTTATTCGTCTTTTAGAAATAGGCAAATATTGCATTATTTCACTCATAACATATTTATTTCTATTATCTCTTATTAAAGTTATTAAGCAGCTACAATAGAACTATTTACCTTTCAAATAACTCCTACTAGAATTGTGAAATATTTGGTCTAAAGCAAATTCACACAGTGAATCCTGCCCATTAAAATCTAGCAGTAGCAGGTACAATGGAATGATTCCAGTTTGGCCTGCCTCGACATCTCTTTTAAATACTAAGAAGGAAAATAGAAAAACATAGTTATCAAATTTGCAGATGACAGAAAGCTGGGCAGGAAGGCAAATATGCCAAGTGACGCAATCATGAACCAAAAATACTTCAGCAGATTGTTTAAATAAACTGAATTAAAGGGAATAAATTTGAACAGGGGTAAATCTACAGTCCTGCATTTGGGTCTAAAAGAACAACTGTAGAAGTATAGGGTAAGTGAGTCATGCCTGTTTATGTGTGGCAGTCTTATAGGCTTGACAGTGTGGTCAGAAGGATGACAAGGTTGCCTCCAACATTAATGTGGTATTAGATTTTGGAGTGGAAATACAGTATTTTGATTGTGCAAGGTACTTTTTTGTTCTGTTCAGCACAGACCAGATGCTACTTGGAATACTACCCATAGTTTTGAACATTATATTTTAAGAGACTAGAGGAAAGGGTAAAAGATTAGAAGATATTTAACCTGTAGAAAAATGAAAGCTTTGTCTTAAATATCATAGGAAGTTGCTTATATTGAGTTAGTGTAATATTTAATTGCTGGGCCCTCCCAGGTGGCACAGCAGGTTAAAGCATAGCACTATGAAGCAATCCTAAGCCACTGCAGCATGAGTTTGATCCCTGGCCAGGGAGCTGACCCACATGGTGCAGCAGACCTCTCCTGATCTGCCCACTGCTCCCGCTCCCCTCAACAGTATGTTTCCTTAGATCCACCTATTCTGCTTCCTACTCTATCTGGTTAATCCTCTCACCCCCTGCACCTCTGTCCTGTATCCCAGTTCTTGTATGCAGAAATAAATATCTTTTAAAAAAAGAGAATTTGTTGTTCTCCTGACTTCTTTCTCTTAGCATAATCTCATAAATTTATATCCCTTATGTTGCAGATGACATGATTTCATCTTTTTTTATGACTGAATAGTATTTTGTTGTGGTGTATATATACTGTATCTTACAGTTCTTATATTCTTTTTTTTTTTTT